GTGAGACTGCTAGCACAGGTGCAGTTCGTGCGGAGGCGTTGCTCACCTTCATGATGGATTCCGGCGAGTCTCAGTGCTTTTTCCGCGACTGCAGCACAGTCACACCGCTACTAGCACGTGTCCCCATCATCCTGGCCGACCCCTTTCTGGCCTGGTCGTTGCATGCGGCTTCACTGTTCTCCCGTGTTCGGCAGCCCCCTCTGGCTCCCTCACAGGCCTCCACCTCCCCTCGTTCACTACGAACTTGGTGAGTACCGCTCACTTCCAGGATATGATGGTCACCACCATCACTCATGGGGGTGAGCGTGTGGTGATGTGTAAAGATACGGTGACTGGGGACCACCTTGCCACATTCATACGTAGGTTTGCTGTCACAGGATCAAATTCTCATTCGAAACGTGTCAATAAAATTGAATACAAGGCATTTTTATACTCGGAACTTACAAGGATAAAATATATAAAACGAACATTTGGGAACACACCCTTCCCGATACTACAATCACAAGTGCGCACAAGCACGCAAGGCCTTTGGCACTCGGGACTACACCCATATTACGCCCTATACACCACTGTCGGCGCTGTTGGTGCCGTATAATAAATATGTCGGTGGAAAAAATAAGAAATAAGTGAAATAAATAGAAGGCTCTAGAAAATAGAACACTAGGCCGATTGAGATGAAATAACTAGGAGAAAAGGGAGAATAGGATAGTGGAAAATATAATAATGAGAATATATTATAACGGGGACATCCTCTCACACTGCTCCCCCTCAAAGCTGGGTGGTAGAAGTAACACCCTGCTTGACAAGGTAGTCATGGAGAAAACGACGGGCGTTATTCAGGTACCCAGCTATCCACGGAAGGATCATAGCCTTTCCAACGAATCAAGAGCTCCAAGGTGACGTTGCTCCAAATCAATCGGCCTAGTGTTCTATTTTCTAGAGCCTTCTATTTATTTCACTTATTTCTTATTTTTTCCACCGACATATTTATTATACGGCACCAATAGAAGGCTCTAGAAAATAGAACACTAGGCCGATTGAGATGAAATAAAGAGGAGAAAAGGGAGAATAGGATAGTGGAAAATATAATAATGAGAATATATTATAACGGGGACATCCTCTCACACTTCTCCCCCTCAAAGCTGGGTGGTAGAAGTAACACCCTGCTTGACAAGGTAGTCATGGAGAAAACGACGGGCGTTATTCAGGTACCCAGCTATCCACGGAAGGATCGTAGCCTTTCGAACAAATCAAGAGCTCCAAGGTGACGTTGCTTGGTCGACGATGTGCAAAAAATGCTTCAACTTTGTATTCGGGTTCCCCGTTGACGAGTACTGGTGTTGGCGGCGGCAGTTGGCGACCCTTGAAGACCTTGTTCGGGTCTCGATATGGCTTGAGAAGTTGAACATGGAAGGCATTGTGAATCTTCCAGGTAGCTGGTAAACACAAGCGGAAGGCGTCTGGAGTGACCTGCGCCTCGACGAGAAAAGGTCCGCAGAAGCGAGGTCGGAGCTTAGTTGGAAGATGGCTGATGTCGAGATTGCGTGTATCCAGAAGCACTTGATCGCCAATCTTGATAGAATGATCGTTATGACTTCGATCAATGAGCTTCTTTTGTTGCTACTGGATACTCAAAAGGCATTTATGAGTGCGCTCCCACAACTGGTGCATAGTGGTAATGAAGTCATGTGCGGGTTTTATCGTGGCGGGTACTGTCGGTTTCTGAGGCGTGAGTGGGTTGCGACCATAACATAGGAAGAAAGGAGTTTCTCCTGTTGCCGCGTGCATGGGGTTGTTATACGCAAACTCGAGAACTGGCATATGCGCATCCCATTTACAGATATTGTCCTTACACGCTGCTCACAAAAGGTGTTCAACAATCTGGTCGAGGCGCTCTGTCTGTCCATCCTTTTGGGGATGATAGGCTGATGACATAGCAAGTTTGGTCCCCATGAGCGACATGAGCTCCTTCCAAAACTTTTCTCGTGAATTTTGGGTCTTTGTCAGAGATCAGCGGGGTTGGAATGCCATGCTGCGAGATGACGTAGCGGAAGAATAATTGCAAGCGGTCGTGTGTGTCGGGATGAAGTGTCCCATTTTTTTGAATTTATCGATCACGACCAAGATGGCATTGTACCCAACTTTGGTAGATGGTAACCCGGTAATGAATCCAAGCTAAACACTTGTCAAGGCTGTTCGGGGACTGGAAGAGGCTGGAGTAACCAGGCTTTCTTCTGCTAGCTGCTCTTCATCCGTTTGCAGGTGTCGCACGAGGTGACGAATCTTTGTACGTGATCTGCCATGTAGGGCCATGTCAGAATGTTATATTCTCTAGCCTGCAGTGGGGTACACAATAATGAGCACGGCCCCTTAGGGTTTGCTATTTGTACTCACCTGCTTGCTAGTGCAACCCTCCTTTCTGTTTCTATCTTTCTACTGCTGTTAATATTTAACATGGTATCAGAGCAGGTCGACCCTCCTGGGTCGATCCTGTGGGTGGGCCCACCACCTCACTGCTTCCGCTGCTACTGCTACTCTGTGTGTTGCACGCCCCGTGGCGTGCGACGGATTTTTCATCCCGCCGCGCGCTCGGAGCGTGCGGCGGTTTTCTGCCCGCCGTGCGCCCCGAGGCGCGCGGCGGTTTTCTGCCCGCCGTGCGCCCCGAGGCGCGCGGCGGCTTTCTGCCCCGTCACTCCGCGCGTCGCCCCCGGGAGGCGCTGCGACGGGCGACGGGGACCCGCGCGTCGCCCCCCGTCGCCCGTCGCGGCCCGCGCGACCTGTGTAGGGCCCGCGCGCGGCCCGTACAGCCTGCGCGCGGCCCGTACGGGCTGCGCCAGGCCCGCGCTCAGCCCGCACGGGCAGCGCCAGGCCCGTGTGCGGCCCGTACGGGCTGTGCCAGGCCAGGGCGTGCCTCGGGCCGCCCGCGCGCGGTTCGTACGGGCTGCGCCAGGCCCGTGGGCGCCCCGTTTCCTCTTCCCTTGAGCCGCACGCTGTCCCCCGCGCTTCTGACGGCGCCCCACCCCTGCTGCTGCCCGTGCTCCTGAATTAGGGTTTGGGGGTGGAGCGTATGGGGGTGCCGTCTCTGTCAGCCGTCCCCTGCTCCTCCTCCTCCTCTGTCTCCCACTGCTGCAGCTGCCGCTGAGGGGGGTGGATGTGTTGGAGCCGTCGGAGTGGAGCTAGGGGGTTGATGTGGGAGTGGAGCTAGGGGTGAAACTGGGGGTGTGTGTAGGGGGGTGTGGGACAGTTGGGGGAGGTTGAGTGGAGGCAGCCGTCGTGTCGTCCGCAGCGCCTGTATTCCGGGGCCCTTGTCGCCGGTAGCTCAGAGAGCCTGCTGCACCTGTTGCCCGTGGGTCCGTTGCTCCTGCCGCTCGTCGCAGCCGCAGAGCCTGTTACTCCTGTATTCCGGGGCCCTTGTCGCCGGTAGCTCAGAGAGCCTGCTGCACCAGTCGCCCGTGGGTCCGTTGCTTCTGCCGCTCGTCGTAGCCGCAGAGCCAGTTACTCCAGTATTCCGGGGCCCTTGCCTCGGTAGCCACTGTGTCAGCCGCTTCTGTTGCCCGTGTGTCTGCAGCTTCAGCCGTCGCCTCCCATCTTCTCTCCTCTCACAGTCCCTCCTCCTCCTCACTTGCCCTCTGTGTTAGTCTCTAGCCTTTGCTTATTATTTGTGAACTCTGTGAACTGCTGCTTGCTGTGCTGATTACACCCCACTTTGGCTATGGGGGTGTGTCAGAATGTTATATTCTCTAGCCTGCAGTGGGGTACTCAATAGTGAGTACGGCCCCTTAGGGTTTGCTATTTGTACTCACCTGCTTGCTAGTGCAACCCTCCTTTCTGTTTCTAACTTTCTACTGCTGTTAATATTTAACAGGCCAATATTAATGCTTTGCAATACCGGCAAGCGTCTTGTTACTACCGAAGTGGCCCGCATAGAGAACACCATGATATTCTTCGAGTAGTAACTGGCGTAACGGGTAAGTAGGCACCCATACTTTTGTGGATCCCTTGCGATATACGATTTCTTGGTCCCAATGCAAAAGATGATGTTTTTCTGCTACGGAGTCGATGGTCGATGGCGTATCTATGCGTGAAGAGTCTCTTCAAGTGCAGGTTCATGCCATCTACTTGTAGGACGGCAACATGTGTAGGGCGATTGAGTGCATCTACCTTGTTTTTGTGCCGATGTCGTAATGGAAGTGGGTTTCAAGGAAGTCAATCCGCCGGACCTTCCGCCTAAAGAGTGTTGGTTGGGTTTTCAGGTATTTGAGGCTGCAGTGGTCGGTGTAGACGGTCGTCTTTCTTCCTTCGAGATAACACCTCTATGTCATAAACGCGTTGACGATGACGAGGGCCTCTTTGTAATGGATGGGGTAGTTGATTTATGCCCCTTGAAGTTTTTTACAAAGGTATGCAATGGGTTGCAGTCCCTTCCCTTGGTCTTGCATAAGTACTGTGCTCACTGCTTGATCGCTAGCATCGGCCTCGATAGCGTAGTCAAGTTCAGGTCTGGCAGGATGAGAACAGGTGCGGATGTGAGTGCGGATTTCAGTTGTTCCATGGCTTCCTAGTGTTTAGCCTCCCACTGGAATGGTATTCTCTACTTCAACAGGTTCGTTAGTGGTGCGGCAATCTTGGCGTAGTTCGGTACAAAGCGGTTGTAGTAGTTAGCGAAACCAAGGAACTGTTGTAACTCCTAAACGTTCTTAGGGGTCTTCCGTGTTCGCATTGCTTTGATCTTTTTTTGATCCATGTGAACTCCTTGAGCGCTCACCATATATACAAGAAATTGGACCTTTCTTCAATGCGAACTCGCTCTTAAATAGTTTCATGTAGAAGCGTTCTCGTCATAAAATTTCGAAGACGCATCGCAGATGCTCAACGTGTTGTTTTATGTCCTTCGAGTAAATCAGGATATCGTGCAATTATACCACGATGCACTCTTCCAAAAAGGGTCGAAGGATGTGGTTCATTTCTGCCTGAAACGTGGCTGGTGAGTCCGAACGGCA